GGGCCAGTGGCCGTCCCTGCTGCCCACATGTGGCCCCCAACTTGTTTTTCCAGAGCCAGATTGGCCCATGCGGTTTGTTTATTAACTGCCTAAAGCTCCAGGAAATATCTGGGTATCAGTAATTCCCGTGCCCGGTCTCTCCAGCTGTGTTGGAGATGCTTTTCACTCCGGCTCTATGATTATCCACTAATGCTGCGCTGTGGGGGAGCTCCGCTCACCGTGTGGCTCCCGGGCTTGTGACTGCTGCAGCTCTATGCGGGGCCATGGGGTGCTGTGGGCCAGATGCCTGGGTCCCCCGGTGGGTGCTGGGCCGCGGGTCCTGTGGGGCTGAGGGTCGAGGTAGAGCAGGGAGACCAGCAGCATCTTCTGGTTGAGTTCCCTGAGACCAGCAGCCTGAGCGTGCCCCATTGCACCCCTCCCTCCGAGCTCCCACGGGTGCTGGAGGACATCCCGGCACCCACCGATGGGGCAGGTTTGAACGACACAAGGGTTTTTTTGCAGGAGGAAAAGCCACGGTGCTCCTGGGGTGGTGGGAGCTGACCCCCAACGCACACCAGCTGAAGTGAGGTGGGCTAAGCAGGGGGTTCAGAGGGGTGCAGAGAGGCTTTGGGGGTGCAGTGGGGCATGCATTGGGGTTTAGCAGGGTACGGGGGGCACAGCGGGGTGCAGAGGGGCACAGTGGGATCTGGTGGGGTCCAGTGGGGTTCACCAAGGTGGAGTGGAGTTCAGAAGGGCAATGGGGAGGCTCAGCAGGGTGCAACGGGGTGCAGTGGGGTAGAATAAGATGCCACTGGATTCGTTCTCCATCACAGCAGCCCCTGCATTGCTCCGGAGATGGGAGGAAGGAGAGGAGGAGTGTGGCTGGGGTTTGCCGGGGCTGCTCCAGACCTTTCCTGTTCCCTCCCTTGCTCTTCCTCCGTGCACTCAATATTTCCAGGGCAGAAGATGCAGAATCCAATGAAAAAGGCAGCGGCATGATCTCTGTGTCAAACTCAATTCTCCCAAGTGCCAGCTCAGCCCCGGAGCCTCATGGAAATGGTCCAGAGGACTTAATCCTCTGCAGTTTATCGAGAATGTCCCGTGCGCTCTGCCCCAGGGCTCCCAGCTCCTATGCCAGGCTCAGCCACTGTGCCCTGAAGCAGGGCGATGACGAGGAGTTGAGGACATGGCTCGCTCACGGGGTGTGAGAAGGAAAAGCTGCAAATGCACATTGCACCGCGCCAGGCACGGCTGCTCGCATCACCCCAGGCTGCACCGACCCCCAAAAAGGGGCTTCACGAGCATGGGGCACCGTCCCGAGATTTAATGCTGGTTTTACATGGGGCAGCCCCAATTCCCGTCCCACGGGCCATACTGGGGCGTGGAGAGGAAGCTTATCCTCCGGGTTTCTCCTTTTTCTCTGGGATGGAGAGAAAATTAATGGGGTTTAGAGCCCAGAGACAGGAATCCTGGGCCTTTCCCTTGCTGGGCGAGGAGCAGATCCATGGGAGATGAGCAGGGCTCCGGGGGCCCTTTGCCAGCGCGGGGAGGGAGAGGAAACGCAAGCTGGGAGCTGGCGGGGCCGTGCGTTCCCGCAGAGGAGTGAGGGCTCGAACTTATAAATAATGAAGTAGCAAGTGTGAAACATTGATCTCTGCTGCTAATGAGCACATTGGGGAGCACAGTCCCGAAATGGAGGCAACAGCGAGGGCAATTCACCCTTCCCTGCAAAGGGGAACCGGGCGGCCGCCCCCTGCCCACCCCATGCACCGCCCTGTGGGTGCGAGGGTCTGGGCACAGCCCCGGTGATGGGGACATCCTCAGCCTGTGTCCCTCAGGGCACAGCCCTGAGGGGGGTCAGGACTTGCCCCTCAGCCTTGTGTTTGCCCCTCTGGGCTTTAAGGCCATGCCAGGATTTTGGGGCTGGGGAGAGGAGACGGCTGCACCTCCCTGTGTGCGTCCTTCTCCCCACCCTGGACCGCTGCAGTGGGGGAGCTTTGGTGGATGCCAGACACCTCCGTGGTGCTGGAGGGGCTGTGAAGAGCCAGGGCAGAGCTGGGGTGGGCCAATTGTTTCCCCCTGGGTCTTCTTGGAGGGTTCAAACCCCTGTATGGAATGAGTCCAAGCCCGGTCAGCTCCACCTCTGTCCCTGAAGCATCCCTGCATCCTGCACGCTGCTGCTGCTGGGGAGCACCCAGCCCCCATGGTGCACTGGCCAGGGTGGGTGGAGGTGGAGGGGGATGAACAATGCCAGGGACCCTCTGATGTGGCCTGGTGATGATCCAGGATGAAAGAGGAGGTGGGAAAAGCCCGTGTGATCCCAGGATGGGCTTCCCCACGGCATCCGGCACGAGCCCTGTGTGCTGGGGGATCCTGTCTTGGCTGCAGGGCGATGCCGTGGGCTGGGGCGGGCGGGCTGAGACCCAGCCCACAGCCCCCCTGGGATGCTCCTGGGTGGGTGCATCACAGGGGCACACGGGCAGTGCTCTCAGCACTGGGGGGGACCCTGGGCTGCTGTGCCTGCCCCCCAGCGATGCTCTCCCACCGTCTGGCAGTGCGAGGGGGAACGCAGGCAGGAGGCAGCTCCTGCCACCTTATTGTCACCCCGGATGTTTCGGTTACAAGCAGCCCCTCATTTGCATTCGCCGCGTCTCCCCCGAGCCCTCCCTTCTGCCGGGGACAGATAACGCAGCGGCCGCGGCATGTTGGGGCCGCGGCGCTGGCGGCAGAGCCGTGGTTCTTCCCATCGCCTCCTGCGTCGGCCAGCATCGGCATGCAGCCAGCATCACCCGGGCGGCCACTCGCCCCCCAGCTGTCCCCATTTGCCCCCCGGCTCTCCCCACCGGCCCACAGCACCGAAGTTAAACGGTTGCAAAGGGGACAGGCGCAGGGAGAGGACCGACATGCATCCCTGCCTGCATGCAGGCAGCCCCCCCCAGCCTGTGG